TTAAACTCACGATAAAATACTTTTTTATTTGTTTCACTCTGTACACACAACTTATACTATTTACAACACAACTTATGCAACTACTATTACTCTAACGGTATTTCGCGGTATTATCAAACTTCAGACTATCTTCAGACTTTAGACTTCAAACTTCAAACTTGTCCAACTGTCAAAGCGCGGGCCTTATATACCCCCTGGCGGTTGTTTCTAGATTTTTCTAAAGAATTCTATAATTTTCTTTACTTTCTGGCGAATGCGCCAGGTTCCTCAATGGACGTTGCGATTTTAGCAGTATGCAGTTATGCAACTAGTAATACACCTTGACAATATCATTGTTTCACAATGAGATCTATCGATTAAAAATATTTTCAATATGGCGGCACTTTCGGTGGTACCGGAAGTTGACAGCAACTTTCTTATTTTAAATGGGTGACCCCATTTTTTATTACATACTTAAATTTTCTGTAAAATTTGAGTGAATTTTGATATTAAACACTCTATATCTACCGTTAACCGTTTTTGAGAATAAACAATATTTATAATTTTTGGAGGAAAAAAACTGCCTGTCAAAAATATGTATATAGCCTAAATGTCAAATTTAGTGATTGCCACAGCCACTGTATAAAGAGAAGACATGTGGATATTTATGTCAAAAATTAAATTGTTCGAATGTCATATAATAATGGCCGCAGCTGCCATGGAATTGAGCGATTAAAAAATTATCATAAATCATTTTTTTTTTCAAATGGAAATCCACTTGTTTATTTCACTCGTGAAAAGGCTTTCGTTACTTTCGTTTTTAAAATTTGTTACTTTTTGACTATACATGTTCCTGTACCTAAAATAAATCGTTTTTAAGTTATTTTAGATTTTAAAGCATATATGTTTCTTGATTTTAACCAGAAGCCTATGATATCGATAATCGTTTCCAAGCTAACTTTGCGCTGTTTTTTTTTTCGATCTTACGGTATATTATTAAAATATTAACTATTAGATATCACTAAAGAACGAAAATAAGAGATATATTTATATAAACAAAAGATGTTATCGTGGGGACTATAATAAAAAAGAAGAATGAAATTATTGGGCAAACCTACAGTAAGATTAGCCATGAAACATGTATGGGTAGTCGTATTTTAGCTATGTTTCATGACTAATCTTACTGTAGGTTTGCCCAATAATTTCATTCTTCTTTTATGTTTATATAAATACACTTTTTAAACTTTTAAGCAGCTGTATAGTTATAATATAGGAAATTCAAATAATTCATTTTCTGACAGATGGAAATAAATTGTCTGACTGTTTGACACTTAATATCAAAGAAAGCTAGATCACATCAAGAAAAATATACGTTTTCAAACTAAATCTTAAATAACTTAAAAACGATTTATTTTAGGTATAGGAATATGTCTAGTTAAAAGGTAACGAATTGGAAAACCTTTTCACTAGTGAAATAAAAAAAGTAGGTTTCCATTTGAAAAAAAATTATTTATGATAATTTTTTAATCGCTCAATTCCATGACAGCTACCGCCATTATTATATGACATTTGAACAATTTAATTTTTGAAATAGATAGCCCCATGTCTTTTCTTTACGTCACAGGGGCTGTGAAAATCCCTAAATTTTACTTTAAGGCTGTACAAATTTTTTTGACAGGTAGTATTTTTCGTCCAAAAATTTTAAATATTTCTTTCTTAAAAATGCTTTCAGGGAAATACCGCGACAAAATATCGCGATTTTGTAAGTCCCCCAAAATCCGAGGGGCCCCTTCGTTGTCTCAGGCCCGTGGCTCCCGTTATACTAAAGACTTCACTGCTCATCATCAGTAATTAAGCTAGAATACAAGTTATGCTGTGCATTGGTTCTAATTTAAAATGTTTATTCAGTAAACATAAATATTGAAACCATTGAAAAATAACTTAAAAGCTAAAATAAATAAATTCAGTCTCAAAATATATAGAAAATAATAATTATTCGATATTTTAAACAAAGAAAATTACTCCTTGATTTAATTACCCAAATAGAAAATGCAATTGACAATTACTGGGGCCTGATAATTGACAATTAAGTAAATATCTGCTTTCATTTATACTGTTAATAGTTGGCGTATACGTATGGTTTGCATACTCCACCTACAAACTGCTTTATAACTACTGAACACATATTGGCCTTCTTTGCCAGTTGAATAAAAAATTACTTATTAAGATTCGGAGGCCCCCTAAAATATGGGGCACGGCGCGGACCGCCCTTTCCGCCCCCCCCCCTAGGCCGCCACTGATTAGCTATTTGCCCATTGTCATAAAAATATACACTTTTAGTCAAAATTAAAAATACATTTTATTTATATCCATATTTAGGTTTAGTTTACTTCAAAAGTTTCGCTGCATTTTGGTGGTTGTTAAAATGCAGGTAATTTAAAGAAGAAGTAAATACGAGACCAAGGTCCTTACGTAATGTTCGTTATTACGATTGTAGGTCATGGTTATTTTGCCGTCTGGGACATAACAAAGTGCATTGAATAATGTGCATGTGCATGGTTAAATAAACTCATTGAAATTGAAATGCTATTTTAGGACCAAAATATTTACATTATTTTAATGATTATTCTGTCTGAATTTTGCTGGGATGTTAACATAACCTTATTGCTTCTCTCTTTTAATTATAGGAAAAAAAAATTAAATCATTTTTTTCGAAATTCTGCTAATAAATCCATTATACAGGGTGGTCCGAACTCTATTCCGTAAACTTCGGCAGCATATTCTGCAGATAAAAATAAGTAAAAAAGTTTGTATAAATGTATGTCCTAAAATGCTTAGTTTCGGAGATACAGTGTGTAGAAGTTTCATTTTTATTTCGATTTTTTCTAAATAATTTCTGAAGTAAAGTCAATATTTGGATGAAAATTGGTGTCTGGGAGTTTTTTGACATGAGAAATTTGATTTTGGTGTCAATATGATTTCTACTTGTAGAGGGCACCACCTGCATATTTTTTAACTGGTTTGAAGAGTAATAACTTTTCATCCGTACCTGTATAAAACTACTGAGTAAAAATATATACATTTGCGACGTTTTTTACGTAAAAAAGATCTCTTGGTAAAAATCGCTACGAGTAATGGTTCTCGAGATATTTGGAATCGAAATTATCAACACCTGTCATCGATGGTATAAATTAAACAACGTTGATAGTCCAGTCAGTGGGGTGTTTTGCCATACAAAAGGTGGTGTAGTAGTAATTTTTTTATATGCTGTTAAGGTTTGGGTCTTGACAAAAAATCCAAGTGTTTGACCTTGGGATGGGACCGCTCGAGCCGCCGCGCCATCTTGGATAGAAGGTACAGTGACGAAAAGTTGAACATATTTTCCAAAAAAAAATAGAAAAAATCCCCAATTTTGTAATTTTTCCGAAATTCTCGCTATTTTTTACATAGGTATAAACAGCAGCGGCTGGTGAGGTAGTGCCACGGTGCCACGGTGCCACGGAGCGAAAAAAATATGTTATAACCTTCATATAGAAATGAAAAATAAGGTAGTGCCTTGGCGATTTATTAGCGTTTTCTTTTCTTTGATGGTCCGGGTCGTTTATTAATAACGTTTTGAGTATTGTTTTCGGTGTCATCGTAATCGGTGCTTATGGGAATATATTGCTCTTCCATTGTTAAGTCTTGGTCATCTTTGTCCTCAATGTCGATGTGAATCTCCGGGACATTTTCGCATGACTGACCACTGCAGAAGCCACATACAACGGAACACTTCAACCCAGCTTTCCTGCAACCACATACTGCGCCGCATCCTTTTCTACAAGTGCATGAAGTGAATTTCAATAAGTTGTCGGGTGCTGCTTGTTTTGTCATGGTGAGTGAAACAAGCCCATTGCTGCCCAGTTTCCAGCCCCAGTCTTCACGTTTTTTCTCGATTCCATACCATTTCTGGACATGATGATATGTCCTGAAAGAATGATACCGCGCAGCATCCTTCGTTGGTGGCAATGAAGCAAGATTGGATTTACTTTTTGTAGTTGATCTACAAAACGTTGGTAGCGGATTTCTTCTAAGGTGTCGTCTTCCAAGTTGCCACCATACAAAGCAACGAGAAAGCGTGCTCCAGTATCTGCGATGTCCTCTGGTGTGCATTCTGATGTTTAAAAATGCCAATGTTGTCACTGAGTCCTGCTGTTTTCTGGAGAAGCAAACAAAACTTCATTTTTCCTTGGTTGAAGATTGACGATGTCGTGTCACAGCCACTAAAAGCTTGGAGAAACAAAATGTTCTCAGCTACTTTTTTATGTTTTAAACTATTAGCTGAATATATTCTTTCAGCAATTTTGCCTTTTCCTGGTTTGCGGAGGTAGATGTTTCCTTGAGACAGTGCCAATGCTGTCAGAAAAACGAGAAGGTCATCGTCTTCGCAAACTACGAAAACAACATCAAATTTTGGGCACAAGGAAATCGCTGTTCTGGCAATCAACACATCAGTATCTTTTTCCGCCTGGTTGACAGTAATAGCAGCCTGCTGTTATACTTGATACTTGATCAAAAAAATATCGATATCTAACTTTTATTCCAACATTTTGATCGTAAAATTAACCGCTGCGGATATATTTTGAAAAATACAGTTTTTTGTATCTTTAATTCAAGATGGCGGCTCGAGCGGTCGCACTCCAAGGTCGAAAACTTGGATTTTTCATCAAGACCTAAACTTTAACAACATATTAAAAAATTACTACTACACCACCTTTTCTATGGCAGAGGCCTATAATGGCCCCCCACTGATTTGACTATGACTATTTTAAGACAAATCGATACTTTAAATAAAAAAATTTAGATGAAAATGCATTTCATACAAAAACGCAAGACCGCAAGAGTCTTACATGCCTGGTGCTAGTCTTGCGTAAGTCTTGTACTGTCGGTCTTGGTCTTGCAGGTGTAACAAGACCAAGACCAGCCTCGCTCATCACTAGTGACATTGTGAATTATACTCAGTTAGCCACTTTGTTTTGTAGAATCATCTATGGGCATTGAAGTAGAAGCTCAAAAAAATTCCCAATCGACCTACGTCAAATCTGTCGACTCTATGTGCAATATCGTGGTGGACCGGGCCTTCAATCCGTTAAAAACCAAAGACTGGCTCTATATGCTTACACCAAGTTATTACAAAGAAAAGGCTTACGTGCGATATTTGCATTCGATGTCCGATAAGGTCATCAAAAGCAAGAAAAGTAGTCGACAGAATGGAATCAAAGAGGATAAGGATGATGATACAGGACGGAAAAAGAAAAACGCATTTTTGGATCTTCTTTTGACGTACAAAGACCAGAATGGGGAGCCTCTCTCAGAGAAGTTCATTCGGGAACAAGTTGATACCATTATGTTTGCTGTAAGTACTATTATTAGGGTTTATATTATAATATACAGGGTTGTTCACATACGACACGGAGTATTGTAGCTAAACAATTAGATTTTTACAAATTGTAACTTTTGGGTTCGTTGAAGGACTATTAGAGCTACAATTTAAAAATATTTTTACAAGATACAGAGTGTCTCGAATGAATAAAAATATCAAAGTTGTATATTTTTTTAAATGGAACACCCTGTATATTATTACATTTTTGGTTTCTATGATTAAAATAAAGGTAAATTTGATTAAGGTTTATTACCCTTAAACCTTACCGTTTTTGAAATATTTTCAATTTTGTGAAATTGCAGTAAAAATTTTAAGGCTTCATTTCTCCAAGGGTATCAAAGTTTTTAATACTAAATATTTACCGAAGTATAATTATTGATCAGTTATTGTATTGCAATAATAAAAATAATACTACCTCATAGAGAGTGTCTAAAAATTTATTTTAAATAATTTCTAGCTTTAAACGGCAATAAGTTGTTTAATTTAAATATAACACCCTGTATATTTTAGGAGAATCAGATGCACAATTTAATTTTCTAGCAAATTGTATTATACCATTTTTACCTATCCCTTCAAGTTTTCATAGAAAATGCATTTTTTTATAATTTAGACCTCATTTATCAATATATACCCATGGAATATTGGCATTTTAGATTGTTTTTAAGGCAACAAATGTACAGGTGCTAAAAACGATAATATTACCAGCCTATTGGTATACAAAAATAAAACTATTTAAATCTTAAAAGAGTATACCATTAATTAAATATACCACCATTATTTCCGCCAAAATATTAATTAATTACATATTTAATTGTATTAGTTAATGAATTCTCCTAAATAAATGTGGATTTGGAATCAGAAAATTATAACAACAGAAAACGAACGTCTCTGTTGTTATAAATAAGCATCCGTCAAAAAATGAAATAAAATTTTTAAGGTGTTCATTTTACCACACCGTCTAATACACATACAAAATTAAGATTTTTGGTATTTGTAGCAATTATTATTAATCAACGCAAACAGTCAATTAATGTAGTTTGAATACTGGAATCATATTAATTGGTCCTCTTTTTACAAATATTTACACAATTTTTTTTAATGACATAAACGAACTATATCGACAATATTAGTACCCTTGTAATATTGTACCCTTTAAAAATTTGTGACATCTTTAAAAATAATCAAAAATGTCAATATTCCATGGGTATATTGATAATTGAGGTCTAAATTATAAGAAAATGCATTTTCTACGAAAACCTGAAGACATAGGTAAAAAATGATAAAATACAATTTGATAGACAATTAAATTGTGCATCTGATTCTCATAAAATATATATAGGGTGTTCCATTTAAAATAAAGAAGTTATTACCGTTTATAGCTAGTTATTATTTAAAATAATTTTTTAAACACTCTGTATAAAATAGTATAATTTTTATTATTGCAACACAAAATTTAGTAAATAGAAATACTTCAGTACAATATTTGGTTTTAAAAACTTAAATACGCCTGGAGAAATAAAGCATTAACATTATTACTGTATTTTGACAAAAACCTAAATATTTCAAAAACGGTAAGATTAAAATGCGGTAAACCTAATCAAATTTATCTTTATTTTAGTCGTAGAAACTAAAAATGTAATAATATACAGGGTGTCCCATTTAAAAAAATACAACTTTGATATTTTTTTATTTATTTGGGCCACTCTGTATCTTGTAAAAATATTTTTAAATTGTAGCTCTAATAGTCCTTCAACGAACTCAAAACTTACAATTTGCAAAAATCTAAGAGTTTAGCTACAATACTCCCCGTCGTATGTGGTGAACAACCCTGTATAGTAGGGTATTAGGAATAAATAGAGCCAATTGCCAAAAAATAGATATATACATTTGTATCCCTCTTGGAGTCTAAGGCTATATTTTACCTCAGTATTGTGAATGTTAATGCCACTGACTTTTTATACAGGGTGTTTCAAAAAACATGTACCATTTCTCGTGGGAAGATACCTCACGTAAAAATAAGATTTATTTTTCATATCAATATAGGTCCGATTCTGCTTTGTTTCTCAGCTACAGGGTGTTAACGTACATACGGGTTATCACTGGAATGTTTTTTCTAAAAAAAGCATGTACGCCACTGACTTTTTTTCTCTTGTTAGCGAAATAGTGGAAGCAGTATAATGCCTATTACAAGTTGTCTCTTGATATTTTGTCGATTTCGGTCTCTTTGATGAGATAAACGCAATTTTATTAATTTGCCTGGATCCAAGTGTAATAGCCACCTTTAAAAAATAATATCACTAAGTTGCTCAAATAAAATTATATCCTCAAGATATAAAAAAAAATCCTCATCAAAAAATATTAAAAAAAGTTCCTATAAACATGGGTATAGAAATGAATAGTTTTAGATTTACAGGATGTAAAACTTTTTAAAATTATTTTTTTTGTAATTATCTTAAATACCATTATTTTTTTATTTGAAATTGCTGAAGGTTGGACTAATAGTAATAATACTTAATAATAAATTAGGTACAATATATAATTTATTAATTTTATTAATTGTAACTAATAATACTGCGTTTATCTCATTAAGGAGGCCGAATATGACAAAATATCGAGAGATAACTTTTAATTGGCATTAAACAGCCTACACAATATTGCCAACAAAAGAAAAAAAAGTTAGTGGTATACATGTTTTTTTTTGAAAAATATTCCAGTGATCACGCATATGCAGTATGCACGTCTCTGATGAATTTATGGACACTTTTTTAGCATTAAAATATGTAGCACTTTTTTTTACTAACTTTTACCCTCAAAATTTCATTCGAGTCACTAAAAGTACTTGAAAGAATATGATAATAAATCGAAATATAGAGTTAAATAAGACTTTAACACCCTGTAGCTACGAAACAACGCAGAATCGCACCAATGTTAATATGAAAAATAAATCTTATTTTTAAGTGAGTAATCTCCCCACGAGAGATGGCACATGTTTTTTGAAACACCTTGTATATATGTTTAATTTTTCAGGGTCACGATACAACTTCAATGGGACTGTGTTTTGCAATACACTGCTTATCGAAGAATCGAGAAGAACAGGTAAATTATAAAATTATTATAAATAAAAATACATCTCCAATTATATTACTTTGCAGGAGAAGGCATTCAAAGAGATAAAAGAAATATCCGAAGGCAAAGATAAATTTACATACGCAGATTTACAAGAAATGAGGTATCTTGAGCTGATAATCAAAGAAACTTTAAGGTTATATCCCACGGTACCATTTTACTCTAGAAATACTTCACAAGATTTTATATTTCAAGGTACTTATAGCTTATATTGTTGAACTGGTTTTTGATGTTCAGAAGTTTCAAAATTTAAAAAAAAAATAAATATATATATAATATCATACAATTAAAATAATAATTGTTAACGGTTCTGGGTTAGCTATTTATAATAATTTTAGTGTAAATATCTTTCGTTTAAAAATATGTTTTTCATATATTATATTATCTTGTTTTTCTATGATATGTATTAGAAAATATATTTTATTGGGTATATTTATTCTTATGAAAGTGTGAGGCTGCCAACATTTTAGAATATTTTCAGTAAAATTTATATTTTTTCTGTAAATTTAAAGAAAAAGATGTAAGTTTACAGAAGACGTGGAAATTTATAGAAAAAGTGTAAATTAGTAGAAAAAAGTGTAAATTTACAGAAAAGGTGTATATTACAAAAAAAAAATAATTCAAATTAAAAGTGTAAATTTACAGAAAATGGATAATTTTAAGGAACAAGTGTAAATTTACAGAAAAAATAAATTAACAGAAAAAGCGTAAATTTACAGAAAAAGTGTAAATTTACAGAAAAAGTGTAAATTTAAAAGAAAAATTAAATCAAAAGTGTATATTTACAGAAAATATGTAAATTCAAACAAAAAGTGTAAATTTACAAAAAACTGTAAATTTACAGAAAAACTGTAAATTTTACAGAAAATGTGTATATTTAAAGAACAAGTGTAAATTTACAGAAAACGCAAATTAACAGAAAAAGTGTAAATTTAAAAGAAACATTAAATCAAAAGTGTATATTTACAGAAAATATGTAAATTTAAACAAAAAGTGTAAATTTACAAAAAGTGTAAATTTACAGAAAAAGTGTACATTTACAGAAAATGTGTAAATTTAAGAAACAAGTGTAAATTTACAAAAAACGTAAATTGACAGAAAAATTTAAATTTACAGAAAAAGTCGTGTAAATTTATAGAAAATAATGTGTAAATTTATATAAAAAATAAAATATAATGTGTATAGTGTAATTTATAGAAAAAGTGTAAAATTAAAGAAAAATGTATAAATTTACAGAAAAGGTGTATATTAAAAAAATAAATTTAAATTAAAAGTGTAAATTTACAGAAAACGGGTAAATTTAAGGAACAAGTGTAAATTTACACCTTTTGTTTAAATTTACATATTTTCTGTAAATTTACACTTTTGATTTCTTTTTTTTAATTTACACTTTTTCTATAAATTCACACTTTTTCTGTTAATTTACGTTTTCTGTAAATTTACACTTGTTCTTTAATTTTACACATTTTCTGTAAATTTACACTTTTTTGTAAATTTACAGAAAACGTAAATAACAGAAAAAGTGTAAATTTACAAATAAGTGTAAATTTATAGAAAATGTGTAAATTTAAAGAACAAGTGTAAATTTACAGAAAAACTGTAAATTTACAAAAGAGTGTAAATTTACAAAAAAGTGTAAATTCACAGAAAAAGTGTAAATTTACAGAAAATGTGTGTTTATTTAGACATTGCTAAAGATATGCTAAAATATTCCCCAATGCTTACGTAGCTGCTCTATGCTTTCGTATATTCTAATTTCGGTAATAAAGTTTAGCTAGATTTAACAATATTATTTTCTTTTTAAATATAATTTAAAAAATCAATTTAGAAAACAAAGTAATTCCCAAGGACGTAACGCTCTTGACCTGTGCCTACGCAATTAACAGAGATCCGAAGGTATTTAAGGAACCTGAGAAATTTATTCCAACCAGATTTTTGGATACCGATGTAAAACCATTTTCGTACTTACCCTTTAGCGCTGGACCAAGAAATTGTATTGGTAAGAATGAATTATTACAATAGAATTCAAACGTAAACCATCTTGTCAATGGGTTTATACTCGTAAAACAAAGTTACCTAACCAGACAAAACAGTAACAGTTGTATGTTAAAACAAATTGATATTTGACCAGAAAAGTTATACAGGGTAAGACAAAATTAATATGGAACATTAGTCACTTTTAAAAGGAAGTTACTCCTTTATGTTAAACGGAACATCCAGTATATTATTCCGGTATTCAGTGGGTAATTTATTTACAAATATTATTAAGGTTGCCTACCCCTCATACAAAGATTTTCCTAGATATTTTAATTTTTATGATTTTGCGTCAGTAGATCTTTATTATTTGAAAAAATCTAGGTGGCTGTGATATACTTTTTGTTAATTTAACAAAAATTAAAGATTGTAGAGTAAAATACTCAACGGTAATAAAAAGAAACACGTTTAAAACATATCTTAATTATTACAGAATTAAAATTAGATATAAACCTATAATTATGTGACAAAAATTAGCTAGATGAAATCAAATGCTCAAAATGCTTCCTTTCCTGTTAACTGCATAAAATGATTGTCTTTTCAAAAGGATCTTTTCATTATAAAAGGCATATGTACAGTTCTACCTCAAAAAGCAGCTACAATAATTTCTCTCATGTTGTCGACAATATTTGGTCGAGTTTTGTAAACACAGTCAAACCAAACCAAGACTAGATAAAATCAGGAGCATTTAAGTATTCTATTAATTGGCGAATGCACACTGCATTTACCAACTAATAGAATCATATCAATTCTCTCTGATGTAGGATAAGTTTGCATTTTCGGCAAATTTCTAAGAATATTTTTTAATTTAATTGACACAAAATGATAACTAGTTGTTAAATTTGGACTAACTAGACAGCTATGTTGAAGTAACGTCAGACATATCACCAGCCACCTAGATTTTATCAAATAATGAAGATCTTCTCAGATCAAATCATGTAAATAATAACAATGTAGGCAACCTTAATAGTATTTTGAAGAGACATGAATGCTCCATTGAATATCGGAATAATATACTGGAGGTTCCATTTTTAAAAAAAAAGAGTAACATGCTTTTAAAGGTGACCAATGTTCAATATTAATTTTGTCTCACCCTGTATAACTTTTTGGATCAAGTTTTAAGTTGATTTAAAGGTCAATAGTTAATTTAACTACGTATTAGGCTATATCGGGTAAATTCCAATTTAGGTAGCTTTTATTGTAATTTAAAAATTGTTCTTTATTTCTGGAAAATGTTAAATATGTCAAAAACCTTACATTTTAGTCATATACTTCTCTTATAAAAGTCACCTTTATTTTTCTCACAGAATCCGAAAATCAATTAATATAGAGGATGTTCCATTACAAAAAACACAACTTTGAAATGTAACTTTTTTGGGGACACCCTGTAGAAATCTCAATGTTTTTAAAAAAGTGATCTGAATTAACCTACGTATGCTCAGAAAATTTAATTTCAATACAAACTGTCGTTCTCCTTGGAACCTCCGCGGCGTATGAGAGGCGCATACAGTTATTAAGCTTATTTTTTATTCTTTTTTTATTTATGTCTTTTAGGTCAGAAATTCGCTATGCTCGAGATGAAAGCTACGCTGGCCAAATTATTGCTGAATTTTGAAATTCTTCCCTCAATTCCAGAACATAATGTCATTCTATCAGCTGAAGCTGTTCTGAAATCGAAAAATGGATTTTGTGTAAGACTGAAGAAACGTATAATATAGTATTTTGTATAGTGATAATTTATTTATATATTATTATTGTTATATTAACTAATGTTGTAAAACAGGTTATAAATACCCTTAATTACCTGTTAAGTGGTGGAATTGTGTTATTGTTTTAATTATATATTATGGTACTATTCATCTACTTAAAACCCAAAATAATTTAGTGTAATTATAAGCAATGCATTTAATGAGTACCTATTTACAAGATATACGGGAAAGTCTATTTTTATACAATATACGAAACATAATTACATATTTGTTTAGTTTTCTTGTACCTATACTTTTCTGCAAATTAGAAAGAATTTCTGAAACGAAAATATATATTTTTAGCTATCGTTGAATATGATTTTCGCTATTTTTAAAAAATTGTTAAGGTGACTATACCGGGTGCGTCTCAAAAGTGGCTCACCTCCATATTTTTATTTAATTTTTCAGATAAAAACGGGATTTGGTATGTTAGAATATTACATAAAATAGGCTTGATTGACGTATTCAATTGCTTTTGGCCACTTACTGTTTCAACGGAAATGACTATAAAGGTTGATTCTCACTATACCTTCCGTTTCCATTCCATATCCATTCCATATCCGTTCCGTTTTTTTATTTTATTGACGATATACGTAAGCTTCCGTTCCGTATCAGTTCCATACTTTTTATTGTACAATTTATATCATTACGAAAGTTTTATTTTAACAATTTGTATCTTTTGAAAAAGGTAATAGATTTAATTAAGAGGTGAAAGAATAAATAAATATCAGCAAAATTTTAACAGAGCTGGTACAAATGTAAGAATTTGACAACGCTGTTTCCGGTTCGCTTCAGTCCGTCCGTCAAAAAAATGTATGGAAGGAAAGGATATGGAACGGAAGGGAAACGGAATGGATAGTGTGCATTGTCCTATTCATTTACATGATATAATATTTTATGTAAAAGAAGAAGAGTCCAATAACTTGCCTAATCAACTTGTCAACACGTAAGTCGATAGTTTAGCCGGCGTTGATCATCGAATAGAGCAAAGACTACAGTAACTATGCACGGTAGGGGTTCAAAATATGCCTATACTGGGAGGCAACTCCATTCGAGTATAAATTAACATATACATTCCAAGTATCTTCTTGGTCTACCGGCACCCCGTTCACACTTATTCCCTCATTTCTATAAAAAAATATGATTTATAACTTTTAATTTTTATTATAAAAATTGGTGAAAAGTAGTTTTTTTGTACGGCGAATTTAAATTTATGGGCCATCCATAAATTTAAATTTACACCTAAGTTCGAATATTGGTTAAACATAGGAATACCCAGGAAATAGCCCGAAATATTCAAAAGAAGAAGTGAGTTTAGGTTAGATTAGAATTAGGTTTTAGTTGGTTTTGCATTAATAAAAATTTAGACCTAATCTAAACTTAAGCTAAACTGACCTCCTTTTTGCATAGTTTGGGCTCCTACGTGGGTAGGAGCCCGTCATAATGTCGTGACCGTGATCGTGACCATTCACGAATCAGCACACGTTCATCTCCATCATTAATATTTTCCTCGCTAAATTCTTCACTTTTACAAAAAGCTTAAATAAGTCTATTTAGTCATGTCTAGTCATTAATTAAAGTCTTAAATAAGTGAAAATACTTTTAAGGGTGATATATTTCGACCCCAGGAACACGTCTATGAGTTTTTTTTTCGCAAAAAAAAGATGTAGAAAATCGTGCATTATTTTTAAATTTTCCTGTATATTTTAGAAAACTTTTTAGAACTGCCTGTTCACCGCAAATTTACCGACGGTATAATCACAACCTATCATGCTTATGTCTTTACTCTATGGCTACGACACTAAAATATTGGATGCAAGTACACAAAAAAAAACAGATGTCTCAAAAAATTATTTAAAAATAAATCAATTTCTTTTTAAATTTTCAAACTTAAATAATTTGGTTATTTTGGACTTATTTGGAAAACGGTAAAAAGAAAATATGTTTCTTTTATCGAGATCTACCAGCTCTGAAAATATTTGCATTTATTCAAGATTCACCCTGTAGAGTAATATCGCGTTTTTTATAACTGTTACTGTCCATCGCTGATTGAGTCACGATTTTTTTTGTTTGTCCTTATGCATACGGCTTTTTAAATAAATAAACATGACATTCCATCCATCGACATGCATTACGATGATATTTCTTTGTCAAATTCCATGCCTGTTCCGGGTTGTCTGCCGGCATTTTAGCCACGAGAAAAATGTCTATCAACAGTTTAACACGTTTCTTAATAATAAATACAAGCTATTTTCGCAATTATAACACGTGTAAATATTTTTAGTGTCAAAATGTCACCCTTTCGATTGGCCGTCCTCGGTTTAAGCCCCGGGATCGCGCTGTCAGACATGACTAGTTACATGTCTGGTCATGGTTACACAAAAGGATACTTCACACAAAAAATTAGCCACGTAACGATGATAAGGTTTTATGTAGCCAGCTCTCCGTCTATTAGTATTATTTACTACACACACCGGAAATGTCTAGGGATATTACAATTTTATCCAGCCATCGTCAGAAATTGTATTATTTGCATTTCTCATACAATAAAATTAAAATAAACAAATAGTTTACAGGACGTATTGAAAATAAAAATGCGAAATTTTCCGAATTTTTCAAATTTACCTTGACTTTTATTGAACTCAAAAAAATTCACACTTTTTTTTTATTCTAAACTGTGAATTAAAAAAAAAGTTAAAACCATTTCTACTTAATAAAGGGTATGGCCTCCTCTACTGTTCATTACAGCCCTACATCGTCTCTCCATGCTCCTGATTAGGTTGTCGATCTCTTATTGAGGTACAGCCTGATGCATTCACGGCCCGATCCCTACGAGTTTCACGAGGCATACCCATTCTCAAAATCCTTCTTTGGACCGCGTCCCATACGTGCTCGATGGGGTTGAGGTGAGGAGATTGTGCCGGCCAGGGTAAGATGTTTAATTGATGAGCATTGATAAACTCACTTACCACTCTGGCTGTATGAGGCCGTGCACTTCCTGAACATGATCCAACCGAATAAGATTTCCCGGTTCTCTCCATACCCTAAGCCTTCTCGAATCCGGATGAATTCCAAAGCGTGACTCATCCGTGAAGAGAACATTGGCCCATTGTTCATTCGACCACTGAACATGATCTTGACCCTACAAATATCGTACCTCTCGATTTCCTCTCGTTAAGGGTTGAGCTCTCCAGGGGCGTCTGCTTTTTAAGTTGACCTCTCTTAATCTATTGCGAACAGTGTCAGGACTAACGGTTACATTATGTGTTTCCTGGAGAATTAAACTAAGCTCTGGTGCTGTAAGAGTCGGTCGGCGTCGATCATTTAATTGTAAAAAATGATCTTGCTGAGGGGTAGTAATGCGATGTCGCCCTGTGTGCCTTTCAGCAACATCACCACTTTTAATGTAGCGTGCACTAAATCGCGATATTACACTTTGCGTTGTATTTCATGCTCTAGCTACGTCGATTTGGCGCATTCCAGCTTCGAGCATACCCATGGCCCTTAGCATTTCGTCTCTGTTAAGATGTCTACGCTCTATAATGTCGTTTAATACTAAACAGAGTTATTTAAATGAATTCTGGCCAGTTATCATAAAAACATAGCCAGTACAGGTTAAATTCGAACAATTGATGCTAGGTGCTTTTTATACATTTGACAAAAAATGCACAAACACTTCTGCAAATATCTCAAATTTAGAAATAACTAGTGTGACTATTTCGTTTCAATCGAAGTAGAAAGAATCGGCCTACAAATATGTGGTTGTTTATTCAAAACATTTATTTTTAACTTTAATATAATGATATCCCTAGATTTTTCCGGTGTGTGTATTTAGTTTTGAACCTTATCGGCTAAACACGATAGTAAAGATAAGCTATATAATTATTTTGTCTCATTTCCTTCCATTCAATCGTGTTGGTATTCTTATAATAAAAATACGTATTATCTTTGTTTATAAACAAGTTTCGTGTATTATTAACATTAATCGAAATAGATGAGTATACCCAGACTTATCCAACCTGTTAACAAATTTAAGTGGGAAAATTTTAAGGTTATACCACATTATTATACACAAGAATTCAGTAAGAGAAAAATACGCTTATTAAAGAATGTCGCCGGTACTTGTTTATGTAGCAATCGCAGTTGCCTTGTGCTGGATTACGGTGTATTGGAGAAAACGCAATATCGTCAAAGAAAAATTGAAATGGATTAAAGAAGTGCCTGGTTTGCCTTTACTAGGCAACAGTTTGGAGTTTAGAGATCCAAAAAGTAAGTAATATATTTGATTAATAATAATTAATAATATAAATAATTCAGATTTAAGGATTGCAATAGTATACTAAACAAAATAACGTTGTTTTTGTGCAAGGTTACTATGTATATTAAACAAGTTGCCTTGTAACTTTTGGATTTTGGACCAATAGGAGGGAGGCTGCAACTACGCCACAGGGATGCTACAGAACGTATAAAATCATAGATAAAGGAATAAAAAATAAAATGCAACCGACAAAGAATAACACACAATAAATGGGCAATACAATAAAGAAAACACACATCGAACAACTGAAAACTATGAATGCCATACACTATAAGCAGGGGCGGATACAGAAATTTATTTTAGGGGGGGGGCAAGTAAAAATTAATGTAGAAAATGCTTTTTAAGCAGCCATTTTTAACCCAAAAGCGTAATATTTAACTCATATTTAATTCATAGATTTTAGGGGGGCCCGCGCCCCATAGGCCCCCCTCTGTATCCGCCACTGACTATAAGCAATAAAGTACACAATGAATATCGATACGGAAATGCACTGTTGGACTGTCGGCAGTTTTTATCCCTTCATCTCTGAGTGGTAGCATTCCTATGACGTAGTAGATGACGTTTCCGATAATGGCGGATCGAGACAGAGAGCTGGCTATATAAAAAACCTTATCATCGTTACATGGCTAATTTTTTGTGTGAAGTATCCTTTTGTGTAACCATTATGAAATAGTCATGTCTCCAATCAAGGTTCCAATCCAATTTGTTATCGTTTTATTAGTTTTTTTGAGTTCATTAACCTTCCAAACAAATTATAAGTAAATTATGTGGTATAAGGTCATTATTACATACTGCTTCGTGTTTTGTACAGGGTGGTTCACATTTTGATCGTCTGATTGCAATATATTTTTTGCATATACTTAGTCATGCCACGCCCTTTCCTAATTTAAAGTTCAATAAAACACAAAGTTCACTTAATCTGAATGAGTTGCATAGAGGCCACTAGCTTTTTAATTTTAACAGCCGGGTGGTCGGAGTTCAAAGATATTAATAAAAGGGCGCCACGAGATTATACTCTATGAACTCGGCATAAAAGATGTTCCTATTAAGTAGACTTCAACACTAACCTCGAACTGTTGAGTGCAACTACCATGAATTTCAATAATTATACTATAATTACTTGAACTTAAGTGACTCTAACTTAACTATGAGACTAGACTGTAAATAATACTACTAAAAATATTTAAGCAATTTATTAAAATATCAAAAAGTTTATATTTAAAGAAATGAAATTGAAGTTAAATGAAATGTAAAGTGAAATGAAATTTAAATCAATAAGTACTAAACTTAAGACGTCAAACCCCCTTATCTAACTTAATACTAGATACAAACACGGTGGTTTACATAAATCAAATCTAAAATTATACTAATCTAAACAGTCTTACTCTAATCGATGTACAATCTTGAAACAACTCGGAAGTTCCTCCGGCTGAGCTACGGTGTATAGCTATGGGGTGGCTACAGCAGGGTACAGCAGCTCGGTGTACTGTCACTGGAGCCCACGGATGTCAGCAGACATACAGATGAAAGGCAAGTTGTTGAGGTTTCAAATGGTGAATATAAAAACCCTAAATAATATTGGTTGTCTTAGAAAAGAGATTAAAGAACAAGGACTAGCACAACGTGAATGAGTTAATAAAGGTAATAAAGAAGGACTATTCAAATCTGAACTTTACCTCAACGAGGGTTTATGATGTCCAACGTGTACCTCTACACGGACAACAGGATGGAATTCTGGATTGTTCTGTGCACTACGGTCTGGGTCGGTCTTCTTGCTCTACAATTACGAACAACCAAATAAGATTTAAGCAAGATAACACTCAACTAATCTTTCTACACCACGTGGGCGTGGAAAAATCGAAAACCAGTCAACAATACGAATAAAATCAGTTGAGCATTGACTTAGAATAGGCAGAAGAATTATAGCATACCTTGGAACTATGCGGGGACTTCTTGGGCACGTGGAATCGGGATATCGGTCGGAAAAATTTGGCTATTTAATCCCTTACGGAAATTGGTCGGTGGTCCATGTAAACTCAACAAAATCCAACCACGTCTCTGACCAAATGTGTTTCGGAAGCCTTAATCCTTCTTGACGAAGACCTGCTATTCACCAACAGGGAATGCTTCACGAAACGGCAGCCAGTTCTTTTCGACGATATTCTGACGGTGGATACACAAGAAGTGATGCAAGGATTCGATTTCCTTCACAAAATCAGATTTCAACCGGAAATCTGCCTCCAGGATATAGATAGAGAACTATATATCTTGACTAGTCCAACTCACAAAAAGGCATAAATAAAAAACGATGTTCTAGAATATTTTCTACTCAGCCATATTCCATATCCGGTCAATGAACGAACTTAACTCACAAATTCCCACAATTAAATGAACGAATTGCACACTGCGATCCACATCAAAAATAACCAATTTAACTACGATATTTTATCTGATAATTATAAAATTCCAATAACCAAAACAAAGGATAAATAAATCCAAAAACATCTGATTTGATCTGACAGTGACAAGTGACGAACAGGTGATGATCAAAGATATAGAGAGATGGACAAAAATTCTAATGCTGGGCCAGTGACAATATTGTGGAGCTGAAGCCAGTATAATATCGCGGTGTATATTCAGTTGCATAATGGTAAAATACTAAATAAAATAATATATAACAATAAAATTATAGTAAACATGATGCAAAAATAATAGTTATTTGCGATAATTTATGAGCTAGCACACGGAGGTCGTTGCGAGGAAATTTGACTCTTACAGTCACTTTAAATTTTTTAAAAATAGCAAACGTCATATTCAACGATAACACTGAAAATATCTATTTTCGTTTCAGCAATTCTTCCTAATTCGCAGAAATATCTAGAACAAAACAATGGACTTTTTCAAATTGCGATTGGAACGAGACCTTTGATTATAGCTTCAAATTATAAATTCTTGGAATGGCTCTTATCATCTACAACTCTGCTAGAAAAGTCGACAGACTATCAGTTTTTGCACAGATGGCTCGAAGATGGAATACTAATAACACACGGTAATTGATGTAACATGTATGATGACCTTTATCCATTTGTAATAAAGGTATAGTAGAATTCAAAGTAAAAAATTCCAACAAAAAGCACTTGACCCCCATTCCCATTTAAAATTGTAAAGGTGATATCTACCCCTTCTAGGTGGTTGAAAAAAGATGGCTAAACATATTCATTAAAGTGCCACCCTTACAAAAAAAATGACGTTTCTTTCCGATTGCTTATATTTTTAACTGCAAGAAAGATATTAAGGGTGAGAAGTTTTAAAATTGACACAGTGTATACAACTGTATTTCAAAATTAAATAATTCTTCTCCTTCGATTAAATTTACGTATGAAATTGAGAACGATAGATTACAAAAGACAAGACTATCAAAAAACATTAAAACTGTAGTGGATCTATTAACAGAGCATTGTAAACTTAATAGGTATCTAACGCTGATGTGTTCAATACACGGTCGGCATTAGTAAGAATTTGATATTGTATTTAATAAACACTTCATAGTGTATGGTACTATACAGGGTGAGTTTCTTACGATGTTCTCTATGGGTATCTCGGAAACTACTGGAGTCGGTTAAATGGGGAAAGAATTGCAGGTTTGTGGGATCATAAATATGCGCCTTTTAGATTTTTGAAAAAGTTCGTGGCTTACTAGAGATTTCGAAAAAAAATTTTGGCTATTTTAAAAATTGTCCCTAATTCCATTCTAATCTATTTTAGATAAAACGTTTTCAGATAAAAATTGTAGATAATAACATCCTTAATAAAATCGCGTTTTCCGTTTTTTTTTCTAAAGCTTGTCATTTTTGACATGTAACACAAACATATGTTTTTTTAAATGGAAACCATAGTTGGCCATGATTTCATAAAAAGCGCATTTTTAAGTTTTTTAGCGATATAAGCTATAATATGGTTTTTTCGAAAAATTACTGAGTTATCGCCAATTCTTATCTTTCTTGACTAATTTCACTTAGTTGATATGGTATTTCTGTTATGATTTATAACTTGTAAAACGACAGAATATTTTATTAAACGGTTCTTTACAGTTTACATTAAACAAACTAAAACTTAAAAGAATAATATCACTACATACACATTAAGTTATTTTAGAAAATTTTCAAAAAATTCGCCATTGTTTTGAGTTCATAAAATAGTCCAATCAGTGGGGGCCATTATCGGCCTCTGCCATACAAAAGGTGGTGTAGTAGCAATTTTTTAATATGTTGTTAAGATTTAAGTCTTGATGCAAAATCTAAGTTTTCGACCTTGGGGTGCGACCGCTCGAGCCGCCATCTTGAATTAAAGATGTAGTAGAACAAAAAACTGTATTTTCCAAAATATATCCGCAGCGGTTAATCTTACGATCAAAATGTTGGAATAAAAGTATAGATATCGATATTTTTTCGATGTATCAAGTATAACGGGACATCGTAAAAAGGGCGGAACAATTTGGGTGGAGTAATAATTTGGGTGGAGGCAAAAAGGGCGAAGAACGTTTCCGAAAAGTACATTCAATATGCACGAAATCCCTACGGTTCACATTCAGTCGTTGTTTTTAATGGATATCCGAGTGATGGAGCCAAAAAGAATGCCAAGGCCGCAGAAAGACTTCGCCGATCGAAGAAGCATATGTCTGCGGATGCTCTCTTCGATGAAACAATGCCCGTTCAAGTTTCCCAGGAATTATTTTTAGCCAACGAAAACAATAAAGGCCGTTTAATTTCGATGCTCACCTAAAAAAGGTGCAAGCTGCTATTACTGTCAACCAGGTGGAAGAAGATGCTGATGTGTTGATTGCCAGAACAGCGATTTCCTTGTGCCCAAAATTTGATGCTGTTTTCGTAGTTGGGGAAGATGTTGACCTTCTCGTTTTGCTGACAGCATTGGCACTGTCGTCTCAAGGAAACATCTACTTCAACCAGGAAAAGGCAAAATTGCTGAATGAATAGTTTATTAAACCATGAAAAAGTAGCTGAGAACGTTCTGTTTCTCCATGCTTTTAGTGGCTGTGACACGACATCGTCAATCTTCAACCAAAGAAAAATAAAGTTATGTTCGCTTCTCCAGAAGACAGCAGGACTCAGTGACACCAATGGCATTTTTAAACATCAGGATGCAACACCAGAGAACATCGCAGATGCTGGAGTACGCTTTCTCGTTGCTTTGTATGGTGGAAGAAGACACCTTAGAAGAAATCCGCTACCAACGTTTTGCTAGATCAACCACAAAAAGTAAATCCAATCTTGCTTCATTGCCACCAACGAAGGGTGCTGCGCGGTATCATTCTTTCAGGACATATCATCAAGTCCATAAATGGTATGGAATCGAGAAAAAACCTGAAGACTGGAGCTGGAAACTGGACAGCAATGGGCTTGTTCCACTCACCATGACAAAACAAGCAGCACCCGACAACTTATTGAAATTAATTTCATGTACTTGTAGAAAAGGATGCGGCGCAGCATGTGGTTGCATGAAAGCTGGGTTGAAGTGTTCCGTTGTATGTGGCTTCTGCAGTGGTCAGTCATGCGAAAATGCCCCGGAGGTTCACATCGACATTGAGGACGAAGATGACCGAGACTTAACAATGGAAGAGCAATATATTCCCATAAGCACCGATTACGATGACACCGAAGACAATACTCAAAACGTTATTAATAACCGACCCGGACCATCAAAAAAAAAAGAAAACGCTAATAAATCGCCATAGCACTACCTTATTTTTCAGTTTTTTATGTTGTGCGTTATATTTCAATGAGACATATGAATGGCACTACCTCACCAGCCGCTGCTGTTTATACCTATGTAAAAAATAGCGAGAATTTCGGAAAAATTACAAAATTGGGGAGTTTTTCTATTTTTTTGGAAAATATGTTCAACTTTTTGTCACTGTACCTTCTATCCAAGATGGCGGCTTGAGCGGTCTCACCCCAAGGTTGAAAACTTGGATTTTTTGTCAAGACCCAAACCTTAACAACATATAAAAAAATTACCAATACCACTTTTTGTATGGCAAAACACCCCACTGACTGGACTAAAAGCATCTTTTTGAAAGTGAATTACATACTAGCTTTTTCACAGAACGGCCGATCGACTTCGTTAAATTTCTCGTTATTAAATGTACCGCCTCTTCGAGTGCCTCTCTTAATTCATAAGTTATTTTGGAAATCTGGTTGTTAAGCATACCGCATAAAAAAATCCAAAATGGGTAGGTCAGATGATCGAGGAGGTCCATGGAATTGGTCCACCTCTTCCTATCCCTGAGTTTGCTATAATTATGATATAAACAATTTTTACCTATATTTAATTAATAAGTTTAACTTATATCCATGGCTTAAGTCATGGCCAACTATGGTTTCCATTTTAAAAAAAAACATATGTTTGTGCCCTATGTCCAAAAAGGCAGGTTTTTGAAAAAAAAAAAACGGAGAACACAATCCCATTAAGGACATGATTATCTGAAAACTTTTTGTCTAAAATAGATTATAATGGAATTATGGACAATTTTTAAAATAGCCAAATGTTTTCTTCGAAATATCTAGTAAGCAATTAACTTTTTCAAAAACTGAAGGATGCATATTTATCAGCCCACAAAACTGCAATACTTTCCCCGCTCCGACTCTCTATCTTAAGTAGTTTCTGAGACAACCATAGAGAACATCGTAGAAAACTCATCCTGTATATATAAAAAATATCCTGTATGGTATTTATATATACAGGGTGGCCCATCGAAAACGTTCCGCAAGGCATAACGGCCAGGGTAATTTTTTTTCAGAAAATTCCAAAACACGTCAATTTTGTTTGTGAGGGGGACAACTTTTGCCTCAAAAATTATTGCTAAATCTTCAACCCTCTAAGTGGGGGTGTCATCCCCCGATTTTTTTCAAATGGGAAGGGGGGTCAAGTGGTACCGCATTGAAAAGGGCTTTCTATTCTCTATACTTTCCTGCTTCGTTTTTGAAGATCGGTCGAGTCGTTGGGAAAATATGAAGGATTGAAATTTGAAAAGTTTATTTAAACATTTATCAGAGTAAATGATAAGGATAAATTCCTTCGACCAATTTGCTGTTTTTTCTTATTATTTCTAGATGTTTGCAATCGGGTTGCGCAGATATTCAATGCACGCCATCCTGACAAACACCTTTATGGCAAATTGTTCGCCAGTTAGTAGCAAAATTTCGCGAAACTGGTTTCGTTATGAATAAAAAGAGGCAGAGGGAAAATCCTGTAGTAAATGAAGCTATGGAGGTATTCGTATTGGGCCAAGTTGCCATGGACAGTATTCTGAGTACAAGAAAATTAGCCAATAAGACCGGCGGGAATCGTGCAAGTTTCCAAAGGATATTGAAAAAACACAAGTTCCACCCGTACAAAATTCAGTTGGTACAAGAACTTAACGAAGACGATTTTGATCGCTGCTTGCAATTTTGTGAAACTATGAGTGAACGAGTGGCGAATGATAATAATTTCCTATTTAATGTTTTTTTTTTGGATGAGTGTACATTTTTTTTGAACGGTGTAGTTAATCGGCACAACTGTCGGTACTGGGCTGAGGACAACCCCAGGGATTTTCACGAGGTGCACACACAAAACCCTCAGAAATTGAACGTGTGGGCTGGTATTTTTGGAAATTCTATTGTGGGTCAGTTTAACGATATTGAGAAGAACTTCAACGTACAAGTCACAGAACAGCTATCTAGCAACTACCGCACCTGATCGTTCAACGTTATGACAAGGGAAAAAATGCGTAAACATCTAGAAATAATAAGAAAACACAGCACAAACCCCCCTCACAAACAAAATTGACGCGTTAAAAAATAAATACCCTGGCCTTTATGCCTTGCGGAACGTTTTCGATGGGCCACCCTGTATATAAATACAATACCACATTCTACATAATATGTTTATAGGACCCACATGGAAGAGAAGCCGTAAAATACTTACACCAACGTTCCATTTCTCTATTCTGGAAGAGTTTGTAACCAAATTTGACAAATCTATCAAAACCCTGGTTAATTTATTGAGTAAAGAAGTCGATAAAGACAGCATAGATATACAACTATTCATGAAGAACTACACGTTGGACGTTATTTGCGGTAAATACCTTTAAAATATTCTCTATTTCTTTCAAACATTAATCCAAACCCTTTAATATTACAGAGACAGCTATGGGAGTTGATATTGACGCTCAGCTCAATCCAGAATCTCAATATGTTAAAGCGGTAGATGCTATGTGTTCAATAGTGGTGGAAAGGGCTTTCAGTCTACTCAAAATGAATGATTTCATATACAGGTTTACTGAAGAGTTTAAAAAAGAAACGAAATACTTAGAATATTTGCATTCAATATCAAATTCAGTCATTGAAAAAAAGAAGCAGAAGTTGAGCGATAGAGAAACAGATAAAACTGATGAAGTAGGAAGAAAGAAGAGAACCGCCTTTTTAGACTTGTTATTAAAATATAACGATGTAAATGGCCAGAATTTGTCTGATAAATTTATCAGGGAGCAAGTAGACACGATAATGTTTGCGGTAAGTTTTTTTTTATTATTATACATGGTGAACTAGCAATTCGAAGAAAACTCTATATTAAATTTCTTATTTTCAATGCTAAAAATATTTTTGTTAGTAAGTATGCAGGGTGCTATTTTGGTATCTATAATATGTTTGTATACCGGGTGCGTCTTAAAAGGAGCTCACCATTATAACTTTTTTATTTTTTTCAGATAAAAACACGAGATTTGGTATGTGACATAAATTAGGATTGATTGACATACTCAGTTGTTTTTGGTCACTGCCTGTTTCACCGGAAATTACTGCAACTTTTGATTTTTGAATGGTACCGTCGTTTTTTTTACTTTATTAGATAGAAAATCACACTCTGAATAGAATGACAAATCATATGTCAACTTTTGACATTTTTTCATATGGTTTATTTGAAATTGTAACATGCGGTTCATAACGACAATTTGACTCGAAATACCAAGTGTGCGGTACCAAAAACACTAGACGACCAAATCTATTTTTCCAAGGCTCCTTAATTAAAAATTAGTATTTTTAACACAGATATGGCTCTAAATTAAATTTTAAAATAATATTTTTTAAAGCGAAAATGTCAAAAGTTCACATATGATATGTCATTCTATTCAGAGTGTTATTTTCTATCGAATAAAGTAAAAAAATACCGAGGATTTAAAAATCAAAAATTGTACTCATTTCCGGTGAAACAGGAAGTAAACAAAAACAATTGAATACGTCAATCAATCTTAATTTATGTGATATACTAATATACCAAATCTCGTTTGTTTGTCTGAAAAAATAAAAAAGTTATAGGGGTGAGCCACTTTTGAGACGCACCCGGTATATTGCGGTTTCCGAGATACCAATGCTCCTATCCCGAATTTGTAGCATCCTGTATAGGGTGATATAAATTAAAACAATAATTTTGAACAAATAAGTAAGTAGAGGTAGAAGGGGGTTTCACCATCAGTGGAGGGTGGAGGGAGCGCACTGCGCATGCGCGTAAATCAGCTAGGAACATGTAAAATACGCTAATAAACAAGAATAAACAGGTTTGAACCGCTTTGAACAGCTTTAAAACAGAAATAAACAGGTATGAACAAAAAATGAACAGGTCTGTTGTTTTAAGCTAAAAAGCGGTTCAAAGCTGTTTTAAAGCTGTTCAAAGCGGTTCAAACCTGTTTATTCTTGTTTATTAGCGTATTTTACATGTTCCTAGCTGATTTACGCGCATGCGCAGTGCGCTCCCTCCACCCTCCACTGATGGTGAAACCCCCTTCTACCTCTACTTAAGTAATTTCTTATATCACATAAATGAAAAAAATGCAAGACCCCAAGAGTCCTTCATGCTTGGTCTTGTAGATCAAACGCTAGTCATGATCATGAGGCAAGACAACAACCAAGACCAGACTCGCACTCCACCTAGGTGCAGATCAAGATTAGATATAGCTGAAATTTATTACTTATTGTAAAACATCGAAGTGATAAATAAACCTCGTTTAGGATATAAAAATGATCTATAAAAATTTTACTATAAAATGAGAAAAAACGACGTTTATTAATGTTATAAAATTCATGGTGTGTCATTAAGAGTCCATTTCACTAGTCCGAAAAAGTAGCAAAATAAGCGTTCGGCATTTAATCTTTTATGTAAAACTGGCTAGGTATTTTTACACAAATGAAGAAGGAAACTAAAGATAAAGGATTATACTATACATACATACATACATACATACAGCAAAATAAAAACACTAAATCACCACAATACACCAAAACACTTTTACTTTTACACTGGACGCGCGTTTCGCTAACCTTGTTAGCATCATCAGCAGATGATTATAAACTAAAGTACAATCTACAAGTTGAGCGTTTATATACTCGCTCAGTGGGCACCGAGTGGGCGTGGCAAAATCTAGCCAATCGAGTCAGAGCCCACTGAGCGTAACAGTTAGATTTCCGCCACTAGAGTAGTAGGAACAAAGAACTTGAAGGAATTCTACCGTTATCTCTGTTCATACTATCTTTACATTTATTAATTCTGATGCTTTCATATGCATCTAATTGCCTGTAATTTGAGACTTGTTTAATTAATTTTAAATTATTAAGATCTATACAATGTTCTTTATCAACAATATGTTCGGCAACGTAAGATTAATCCGGTCTACCATATCTTATCTGAGCTAAATGTTCTTTAAATCTAGTTAATATTGATCTTCTAGTTTGCCCAACATATTTCTGATTACAATCTTTACAAGAAATTCCATAAATACCTGACCTTTCCAGTGGAGGTGTTTTATCTTTTGGATTACCTAATAATTGTTGTAATTTATTATTAGCACTATACACAAGTTTATAATTGACATTCTTAAAAAATCCTTTTAGACCACGGGATAACTCTCTATCAAACGGTATCGAAAAATATTTAGACGTATCTTTCTTCACTTGAAAAGTCGAATTTTCAGAAATCATTAACCTATACCTACGTTTTCTAATTAATTTATCAACTAGTGAAGGAGAATATCCATTACACTCAGCTACATTCCTAATGTAATCTCTTTCTATTTCATATCTTTCGTTGGAAAGTGGAAACTAAGTAATCCATGAACTAAGAAATTTAAACTAGCCATTTTATGTTCAATACTATGATGTGATTTATTAGAATATATCTGCGTGTGGTCGTATTTTTCCTATAGATATCAAATTCCAGGCAATTATTAGTATTTCTAATAACTAATACATCTAGAAATGGTAATCTGTCGTTGTTCTCACTTTCGTGCGTAAATTTAATGGAAGGAAAACGATTATTTAACTTAGAAATAAAATTATCTATGGTGTCTGAATGTGTGTCAAAAACAGCAAAAATATCATCCACATACCTAAACCATACTCTTGGAAAATACTCAAACTGATTCTTAGCCTCCACTTCAAACCTGGTCATGAATAAATTAGCCAAAAATGGAGACAATGGATTACCCATTGCTGTACCTTCCGCTGTTCAAAAAGTTGTTATTAAATTGAAAACAATTTTGTTTCATACATAACGATGTAAGCTCAATTATATTCACTCACAGTTTTGTTGTCGAGACCATTTGCGTTCAGTAATTCCTTCAAGTAGCCTAAAGTATGTGGAATTGGAACACTTGGGAACAACGAAGATACATCAAAGGAGACCAAAATTCCACCTTCATGCAATGTTATATCTTTAATTTTGTTAATGAAGTCAATATTATTTTTAACTGAGAAAGAAGGTTCATGATCAGGTAAATTTTCGAACTCCCTTGACAACCATTTTGCCAAATTATAAGTCGGAGAACCTACAGCCGAAAAAATTGGGTGCATAGACGGTTTATGAATTTTTGGCAAAACATACAATTTTGGTAATGAGGGATTGGATATTTGCAATTTCCTCTTTAAAGAAAGATCAATAAGGGTGTTACATTCTTTTAGAGTTTTTTTAACGTCTGCTACCATCTTAGACAAAGGATTCTTTTTCAAATTTATGTAGGGGCCATTATCGATTAAGTTGTTAACCTTATCGTAATAGTCTTTTTTATCTAACATACATACATACATACATACATACTGCCATTACTCGCTGACGAGTATTTGACACGCATCAGAAGATGGTCACGCAAGGCGTTTTCTTTCATGAGCTTTTCTGTGACTGAAAAGCCCGATACGTGATGTTATCTGTCTACCGCACTCCAGACATTCAAAAATCTCATTATACTATATTCGTATTGTAGCACACTTGTAGCAACTTCTTTATTTTTAAGATTTTGATGGTCAAGCATCATAAAAATATTCCTTATGTTTGGACTAAATTTTCTCGAAAATAAAGAAATAATTTAAACTTCCGTTTCAATACGGAAATAGATTGAAGTTTTGTGATTACAGTGATATATTATTTATGTGGTTTTGTAACAAATTGCTCGCTATTTTAAGGCAAATGCTCAATCTCTGCAAATCTTAATCAAGCCTTAATCAAAGCACGTGTATTTGGAATTTTGGGTGTGGCTTAACACGATAGGATCGGGCTAAGCCTTAGGCAGATTTCTGAAATATAATATATATTTCCTTCGGCCACAAACCCGCTTTACCCGACCCCTGAGAGCGACCCGTACAGTACAGCGTAATAAACTCATAACAAAGTCGATCACTCTGTAGATTGGATTATGTTGGCTTCTATTTTCTTATTGGATATAAACTTAAAATAGTAATATTTTTACCTTTATTTACAGGGTCATGACACAACAGCGATGGCTCTGTGTTTCATTCTGCATTGTTTGTCGAATCACGCTGATGAGCAGGTAGCAATAATTCTTTAAATAACTACTGTGAATATTTATTCTAATACATAATGTTTATCTTTACAGGAAAGGGCATACTTGGAAATTAAAGAAATATGTGAAAATACAGATGTCATATCATATTCAGATTTGCAAAACTTAAAATATCTAGAGTTGGTTATTAAGGAGTCTTTAAGGCTTTATCCCTCTGTACCTATTTATTCAAGACGGATTAATAAAGAAGTCATATATGATGGTATGTTGAACATATAAGAAATATAATACGGATCGATACCTTCTTCGTCTACTTATTTGAGATCTAGTCGATCTGTTAATTTTAAGATTCCCTCTGTAGCAGTTCGTTTGCCAACTATCTTTCCATCTTTTTGGAGGTCTTCCTGACTGTCTCTTACCCATGGGTTTCCCTTCAAGAGCGTGGTAGCCTGTTTTCTTCCATGCGTTTTACGCGTGCGAACCATTGTCGTTTTCTTTGCCTATCCCATCTCACTACGTCCTGTCTTCCACATTGTTGTCTGATATTTATGTTTCTAATTCTGTCTCTTCTAGCAGTCTTCCCCATGGTTCTTAGGTTCTTCATTTCAGCGAATCTTAACATGCTTTTGGTTTTGTTTGTTTCCTCTCGGATTTCTATGCCATATGTCATTATTGGTCTAATGCAGGTATTATAAATTTTAATTTTGCTGTCTGTTTGCCTGAAGGGGTTTGTCCACACTATTTGCCTCAGACATCCTGACATGGCCGTTGCTCTGAATATTTGGCTTCTCAGATCTTTCTCTGGATCATGGTAGTACGACATATTTCTATTTCTAGGTATCTAAACTATGCGTATGATTGCTCAATAATTTTGTTTTCTACTACAAGTTTGCATCTTACCGTAGAGATACCAAATATAATAATTGTTTAGAATGTTTCAGGTCAATTTAATTTACTTACCAATCAGTAACTTCTGAGCAAATATCTATGCTATATCTAAGTCTCCATTACAAATAATGTCTTAAGCAAACAAGTTATGTTTCCATTCCTCTATGACTTTCTTTGTCAATATGTCCAACGTATAATTTAAATTTTATATTTAAATGTTTTTTTTGCATTTATTTATTATCCAATTTTTAGGTGACAAAATCCTTCCAGAAGGAGTGACAATAGCAATTTGTGCTTATGCAGTCAATCGTAATCCTGAAGTGTTTAAAGAACCTGATAAATTTATTCCAGAGAGATTCTTAGATTCAGACATCAAACCTTTTTCTTATCTACCGTTTAGCGCTGGTCCCAGAAATTGTATTGGTAAGTCAAGAGTTTATTTCACTAATACCCTAAAGACTTTTCTTAATTGAGGATTATCTACAATATAAAAATATAAATCAAATATGTATGTTTAGAATATCCACTAAACTTAAAAAGTTGTCTTCCAAAGTAATCTTGATTTAACGTTTGCTTGAAAGATTAAAAACAGACAATTAAAGCACGACCAAAGACGTATACGTAAACGAATCGTTTGATCTAATCGATGTTGAACGTAAAATTGAGCCTCTAGTTTGATTACCTAGCCCTCAGACCTGGTTAGTTATTTGAGTTATTTATCTTATTATATATTTATTTGGTTAGTTATTGAGCCTATAATAAAATACATTTGATAATCATAATATTAAATATATTAATAACTCATTTATTATTCTATATTTTAGGTTACGTATCGATAGATACAAAATACATACATTTTGTGTCGTGCTTTAATAGTCCAATGATGAATTATGAAATACAATACCTATCTTCTCTTATTGACTGACTGTGTCTTTCAATGTGAAACTTTAAACGTTTCCATTTTTTAATCTTGATAAGTTCAGTTTTGTAATTCCTGATAAGATGAGATCTCTCTATGTAATAATCCTTATTTTTATAAAAGAATAATGATTATTGAGAATATTAACATACATTATCTTCTTCCCAAGTAGCAAATTTTATTTTATAAAGGCTGTATAAACAGCTATGTGATAATTTTTATAGGATACCTCAATTCATATAACGTGCTATATGACCTTAATATGATAGCTTTACAACCAAAAAAGGCCCATTTTTAAACAACCGTTTAGTAGTATAGAAGTTCTATAAAAAGGGTATACAACTATTATGCAACTATTTTACACAGCGTTATTTGACTATTATAAAACTAGTTTTATTGTGTATTACGTGGTCACATCTAAGAAACAGAACAATAAAAACATTTGATCATTTAGCGAGGTACAAGAGTATTTTATTTTTTACCGAAGAATATTAGGAGCAAATTATATTTTAAGCGTGTCGTAAAATGAATCTAGAGGATGTGAATTGTTAAAAAGGAGACTTTACTCGACAATGAAAATGGCGGGTAGAGCCAGAATGTACAACAAATATGTAATATAAGAAATCATTAATAGGGTTTGAAAAGTAGGGACAATTTTTGTTGCGCCGAAAATTTTACTGGTAGATTATAGGTATGTATTTGGCAAAAAATGAAAGCGCTTTAATTTCGATTAAGGTTTACATATAAATTTAAACAATAAAATAAAATAAAATTTTCAAAAATTCTTGTTTTGAATTTAATTAAACACTTTATTACTGTTATGTGGGAATCTCATCACAAAATAGGTCTCAAAAATAACATTTTACAATTTATTTTGATGGTTTTAATTTTGCTTCATATAATGGCGGCCATAAGCCATACAAAAATTCTGCCTTAAACATGGCGAATTATAATGCAACCATTTTATTATAAATGAATCCCTTAAATAAGTCTTTATTGTAAAATAAAACGGTTTAGGACAAATATCTATCATTACGCAGAATTTCCAGGCACTATAGAACTATTTTGGACATATTGAGATTTGTGACAAATAGATGTTTGCCAAATCTCATTTGCTTAGTATTTAAACTAACAAACATGATCAGATTTTCATGGATTCATGCACGCAATGCATTTCATGCGTGCTCGACGAGTGAGCGGCAACCTAAGGACTTGGAAAAACAACAATAAAACAATACAAACATTACTACAGTAAAACTTTTACATCAACGTGGCAACAATGCTTTGAAGAAGCCAGACAATCCGAGAGATTTTTGAGAACCCAGGGAATTCTCGGGATTATTTGCCGTAATTTCGAGGAGTTTTTTCTTACATGCTCTTTATAACTACCACTGCGTTTGTTAACTTTTTTCCAACTTTGTCCAGAATTCATAATAGCTGTGATTGATTATACTCGTATGTAGATATTAATTTAGCAAACAACAACAAACTAGGTATACCATTTAATTTAAAATGAGGTTATATTATACATTACCAGTTTTATAATGCAGATATTACAGCGAATTTATTTTGTTAATCACAATTTTATCATATAAGGCTATATAACTGGTGTTGTATACAGCACCGTAGTTTAACGCAATAAAACATTCAACGTAATACAACTTTATTAAGACAAGTTTAAGTAACTATTATATGATCTTGTGACTACTAGTTATATGAATATTATAGAACTCTTACACGGTGGGTATGAGTCTAATAAAATAATATGTTTGTTATCATATAGCATTGTCTTATTAAGTGTTATATCATACTAAAAGAAATTATCGTTTAATGCGTTATAGGATACGTTGTAAAAACCACTAGGTTAATAGTTTAATATGACAACTTTTATTAAAAAACAGAATGGTCGAAACCAAACGCTTAATAAAATCAAGCAGTCCTTAAGACAACGCTATTCGACTGTTATAAAATAATTCAATCCTTTTAGAATTTCTTTTTGCTACTTGGGTTATGTGTCAAAAAAACTTGGACATGTTGCAAATATTATTTATATTTTGTTTTAATTTTTAGGCCAGAAATTTGCTATGTTGGAGATGAAGACTACTTTAGTTAAATTGCTGCTCAATTTTGAAATATTACCAGCCATTCCTGAACATAAATTAATAATATCAGCAGAAACGGTTTTAAAGTCAAAGAACGGTTTTAGAATAAGACTTAAAAGGAGAAAGTGAGAGAATGTGTTGCGTAAAGAATTCATATATATCTCAAGATAATTTTTATATTTTTTGATTTAAAATAAAGATTAATATGGAATGTTGTTTGATAAATATCCAGATTAACCTAAGTTGTCATTGTGGTTTTCTGTTCCATTTCAATAGCCTCCCATACACCAGAATATTTGGCTCGCGGATTTGGTCTGCACTTGGTCTGCAGATGAGGCTGTATGTATGTGTGGTGAATCAAGTCAGTGTCAGGCTAAGCCTGTGGTGGACCAAGCTTGTCGCAGGTCAAATCCGCAGACTTAATATGCCAGACGAGTTATGTGGGATTTTTACCTCACTAAAACCTAACCTACACCTCTGTCCTCTCTCCAGGAACGTTCTTTCCCCGGCGGCACTCTTTGTAAATACTACTTCGCCGGGGCGTTCTTATTTGGTGTTACTGCTGTCTATTCTTCGTAGGTGGTGCGAAGATCCTTAAGTATGGTCTCAGCATACTCCGCTACCTTGTTCCATGCCGATTGACTCTTCAGCATGCAGTCCACTATATTTTCTGGGCTGATGGACAAGCCCAGATTTCTCTCGAGTTCCGTCCTTATCTCCTCGTATAGAGGGCATCGGAAGAACACGTGCTCCGCATCTTCGGTCACCACGCGGCAATGGTGACAGTTCGGGGAGTCACTTCTCTTGAATCTGTGCAGGTATGCTCGAAAGCATCCATGCCCAGTCAAGAGTTGGGTGATGTAGAATCCAACCTCCCCATGCACACGGGTGATCCATTTGGTGACATCCGGGATTAGTCGATGTGTCCACCGACCTTTCATCGAGCTGTCCCATCTCACTTGCCAGAGACGATGACTTTCAGGCCTCTCTTCTTCGCAGAAGACCTGTCGCTGCTCGGCTTTCTTCTTACGATGTTGTCGCTGGCGTTCTCCCGCCAAGATGTCGATAGGTAGGCATGATGCCACTACACTCACTGCATCCTGTGATACCGTCCGGTATGCTGACGCCACTCTGATCGCTGAGAGTCGGTGGACTGATGTCATTGTCCTGCGATATGTTTTTAGTTCCAGCGATTCTGACCACACCGGTGCTCCGTATAGCAGGATGGAGGTAACTACTGTTGCAAGTAATCGTCTCCGGGATTGCCTGGGGCCTCCGATATTGGGCATTATCCGTGAGAGTGCGCCCTGAACTGGTCTCGCCTTCTTGCTGACGCTGGAGATATGCTCCTTGTAGTTGAGCCTCTCATCCAAGACCACTCCAAGGTACCGGATATGGGGTTGCGACGTGATATCATGGTCGCCTACTCTGATGGTGATGGTCTCCATTTTCTTCCAGCTACTCACTAGGAGTGCTTCAGTTTTGTGCTCCGCTAGCGATAGATCTGCCGATTGCATCCACTGTCTTATCCTCCTGATGGTGATGGAGAATGCAGCTTCCAGCTCCTCCAAGTATATCGCCACAAGGACAACCGCCACGTCGTCCGCAAAAGCCACGAGTGTTGTGTTGGCCGGTAATTCAAGGTGGAGCAGACCGTCGTACATAACATGTGGATAAGCGGTGCGGATAAGCTGCTTTTTCTCGTTTGTATGTGTCACCTCAATAAGACAAGTAATGTCGAAGAAAAACAAAGTTGAAATGTATGAAGAGTTAACAATTCATTTACTAGGTATTTAGTAGAGTTTCCGGAACCGGAGCTGTTTTTCGAAACCGGGAATTTTGTTACCGCGCTTCTTAGAAACCGGGATTTCCCGTTTTTTTCGGTACTTCCGGTACTGACTAATTTTTGTTCAATGGTGGTGCAGTTCATCAATCAGAAAGCAACCCAACTAGCACACTTATTTTATAATTTTTAACTTTCGGTACTATTCTGTTTTATAATTACTTTATTAATTCTCTTCAAAAACCATTTTGTTGTATTAAAATTGCAAGTGAAATATTTTACTTTTTAAAATGATTTTGCTTTATAAGTTAGTCGTAAGAACGTTCTTCAAGAAAAAATAGCGAACAGTCTTACGGCAAATTTTAATTCTGTTTTATAAACATTTATACAATGTATTTTATACGACATTTTACCTTACCGAACAAATTTGTTTTATAATAAATTTGTACCGCTGTTACTCGACACTATGTCATTCGTTTGCGAACATATATAAAATTGTTTTATTAAAGTCATGCGAGATATTTATACAATTATTTTATAAAAGTTTTCTTCCTGATATTATTGCCGACAACATCATATTTTACTCAGACAATACCTTTAAAAAATGATTATATAATTAATACAAACACTGTCATAATAAAAACCTAATGGAATAATTATAAAACAAAAATAATTGTGATGACACAAAAGCATTTGTTAATATATTTTTAAAACGTATCGACATTTTTGCACGCCATTACTTTCTACTTTGATCTTGTCATAAAATACTACAGCTTTATCATATCAAAATCTCAAATTATTAAAAATAATAAAGAAACATAAAAGAAGTGGTGCGTTTTACAGAAGGGCAAAAAAGTGTTACCAGAATATCCTAGCTACCGAAGTTCGTGAAACAGTTGATCTATCTGTAAAGGAAGACTCAAGTGAACAAAACGTTTTCTCTTCAATTGCTGATGAACGAAGTAGTTCCACTGAAAATTATGCTTTTATTAACGAGGTTCAGAAGAGAGATCTCAAAGAAGAAATAAATAACTGGGAAATAGAGCTAGGTGAATTACGTGAGGATGAGGAACATTCTGAGGATATAGTCAATGCAGAAAAAAACACAAAGCTTGTAAACAATATTAGAACGTGGGCTGTGTCTTTTAATGTACTACATGTGGCGCTAAGGGCTTTATTTAAAAATATAATATAAATGATGGCTTTCCTAATATGCTTCCCCAAGACCCTAGAACTTTTAAGCCTCAAATTAGGATAAGCCTCAGAGATTAGGTTTCTGAAACAGATATGTTGCACTAAACACAAATTAGTTCTGTTGTTGTCGCATCTACGACATATTTATATAACGGTTGCAACCGGAGCAAATAATCAACATAGATACTAACCGTTTTGTTAATGTTTTATAAGTGTTTTATATAAAACAATTAATTTGAATATGCGTCATATGGGCGACTATTTACTCCTGGGCTTATGCGCCACCTGGAGGAACGCGGACGTATGGAAACGAAAGCAAAAACCTATTGAGAGATATCAGAGCCGGAGTTAGGTAAATTTCTTTTACCCTTGACCACTATGTATATGTAAAATAGACAAAAACACAAGATATTAATATGCAGTAAATTACGTACATACACGGTGTCCCATATAAGAATGCACAGTGTGCATTGCACACTACAGGGATCTCATAAACCAGAAGATTACAAAGATGATTAAATTAGGGAAAAGTTCCGCCTTGCTGAATCCTGCAATATGATGTTTTAAAATTTTTAAAATTCCGAAGATATTTGGGAAACACCGAATTTTCCCGATTTCAATCTTATTTTTTTCTCATTTTATTTGAAAAGATATGCGACAATGCAAATTTCACATTCCCATTGCTACTTTTCCTGCTCTACAAGTCATAGATAAATGAAACAAGTTTAGATTGGAAAGTACCCATAAGGACAATGTAAACACTATTTGGCGCTATTCTTGCAACGGTCGCGACCCAAAACTTTTGAAAATTTCGGAGCGGTTCGGCTTTTTCCGGAATTATATCGCCAAATATTGTTTATTCAAATTTACTATTATTTTCGTTTAATTTTATAAATAAAATACAGTGTGTTGCATACAAGAAACTTTATTTTATATAAGGACGCATGTATGAAATACCAATGAAACATCGGAAACCGACGTTATGCCACGATCCACGATGGTTTTTGCAGTTCACAGCACAGTTTTTAAGTTTTTAATGCCACTTTTTCAGAATTATCACCGGTTGGAGTAAATAAAACTTGAATTAAACTCACAAGATAGCAATAATTACTTTGAAAATGGACGCTATAAACACTTTTCGGAATTTCTTTAATGAGAGCGGTTTAGATTTTGAAAGATTATTATGATTTTTGAAAATTCTGACTTTGACAAAAGAAAAATTATTTCTGTTTTTGTTTGCCGTTGTTCTTAGCGACCGCTATAGCAGCGCCAGATCGCGTATAATGGTCGCGACCCAAAATAATTTCGCGACCTAAAATTTTTACGGGCTTTCCAATCTAAACTTGTTGCATTTATCTATGCTACAAGTTGATGTTATTAGATTTTCAATCTGACGTTTTGTTTTTTTCTTAGCAACCATCAAGATTTGTTTCTTAGCAACCATTCAAAATAGACCTATCAACCCTTATATCATTGAATTCGTCTCAATGAGCTCTATCGATATTCATCAAAATATACAGGGCTTTCCATTTAAAAAATTGAAGTACCACGTGATATCTTTTTTTATCTATCCGTTACTTTACGGACACAGTGTATATTATGTACATACTGTAAACAAATCACACCGAAAACTGTGCGATTTTTTATTCGTACGTTAAAAGGCAAAGAAAATGCACGCATTTTTATATGCAATTATTAGCGATTTCAAAAATATATGCGAAATTTCTGGAGTTTTAATTACGAAAATCGTTGATATTACATCAAAAACTTATTGGCATTTAGAACAAAAATAAGCATTACCATAGGAACATAGGAAATTTTTATTTCATTTTGTGAGTACGTTATCATTATTAGTACTGCCAATATTGCAACGCGAAAATTGACACATGTCAAGCATTAAAAAAAAGTTTAATGATGTTAGTGCAAAAGCCCAATAAGAAAGTTTGTAAAATATTATTTTGAAAGTGGCGGCACGCTGTATGTCATGACAGATTCCTTCATTTTGTATCTTATCAGTATCAGTAAGGCCAAAACTTCAACTCGAAATTTGACAAATGCATAGAGTTAGTGTGAATATTACATAAGCTCTTTTATCTACACGTATATAATATGTTTTTTTTTTCTGAAATACGCCCCTGTTTAACTAAAACATTGCTTATAATTTAAATATTTTATAAAAATTTCTTAAAGATCAAAAACATTTTATACGAACACCGAAGGTGATAAAAGTATTTTATAACATGGAAGCCATTGTTTTCGTCGTTTCCACTTCACCTTCCGACGGCCATTTTTAAACGCATTACAAAAAATCATTTTCCCACAATAAAACGCCACAACTCTGTAGTCTAAGTATTTATATAGTGGTCTAGGATGGATCCTTTAGGGTATTTTATTACAGTACAGGCCAAATGAAAGAAAAACACGAAATAGTATTTTTGATTCTTTCTCTTAAAACTCAAAAAGAGTTAACATATATAAGGCGCTTGAAAATGTTGCTATTTAAATACCATACATTATACAAAAAAAAATTTCCTCGCAGTAAAATATCAATCCTCAGATGGCATACCGAATTTCTTACCTAATATTGGCTATTTATGGTCAGAGCTTAATGCAATATGGCTGGTGTACATTCAGACATAACTATATATTATGTTTTTAGAATTGTGACAGAAGACGCGATATTTAGCTTTTTTGTTCTCAGAACAGGTATAACAAAACAACTTTTATAAAAGTGTTTTATTCTAGCTCGGTAATTGTTGTATAATTGTCATAATTTTGGTAAACTATTTAACTCTGTAACTGTTTTCAATAAAAGTGTTTTGTAATTGTTCCAAATAATATTTTATAATAATTTTGTAAATGTTTATGTAATTGTCCGGTAAAAGCTATGGAAACTATAATAAAACAAATTAAAGAACTAAATTTCTGCACAAAAGTGCGCCCTTTTTGGGTTTATAAGCATTGTATAAACGTTGTTGAAATGTTTATCGCAATACTGTTAATTTATAAAAATAGTTCTGTAAACGTTCTTACGACATTTTTAAAACAGAAATTGTTAGTTGGGAAGGGATGGGTTTTCAAAGTAAAATGGATAAAAAATTGAGATTTTTAATGAAAATAATATCAAAGTATTAAATAATCAGTCATGAAAAATTAACATGAACACAAACATGAACAAAAGTAAAGAAAAAAAGTATAGGTAACTTAAATTTCACATCAAACAATATAAACCAACTTAACTGAATTTGAGACAAAAGCCCTAAACTATTGAATTAAAAATGCAAATATCTATTAAAACATAACAAAATAAATATTATAGGAACTTCAAATGAGAAAAGAAGCAAGAACAATAAGAAATAGCGTCAATACTTATTTAGAAGAGTTTGATTTCGACCGCTATAAACTATCAAAGGACTTTCTCATGTCGAGCTGCTCAGTACCTTACACAAGTAACAGAAATTTTATTTGTTGATGCATCAGGAAACTGCGAGGTGCAAGACTACAAGATTTACTTTTTTGCAATGCAGTCTCCAGCAGGAGGCATTCGAGTTGGGTGTATCATTTCTAGTAGTCAGAAACAAGAATTATTTAACGAAGCCGTTAAGAATTTAAACGCAATCATGCCTCAGAAAGTTTCTCCAAAAATAATATTAACCGACGATGATCTCAATGAAAGAAGTGTTTTAAAAAAACACTGGCCACAGGCAGAGCTCCTGCTTTGTTCCTTTCACGTTTTGAAGGCAGTATGGAAATGGTTGACTGCATCGAAGAACCTAATCAAAAAAGAAGACAGGCAAAGACCATACACGAACTTTAAGAACATATTAACTTCAACATCAGAGCTTCAACATCAGTTTTACTTTTTTAAGTAAACTCGCAATGTATATAATGGATTGTTCTTTGAATCTAAAACAAACATTTTGTCATCGTTATACTTAAAAATTGCATTTCAAGAAGTTTGAAACCGTTCCCATATCATTTTTTGTTCTTTTCCTTCAAATACTAACCATTCACGCATCTAACCATCAAAATATTTAAATTACACCTAGTGCTTAAACAGGCATTAAGTGCCAACGGGCAGTTGCGATGCTCATAATTTGCTAACGCTTCGTATATATCGAAGTCGTATTACGTTGGCAGAATATGAATATGCGGCCCGGTTCTGTGATGGCCAAAAAGATCTGAACTCTAATTTGAGTTTCCGGAACCGTACTAAAATATTTTCGTTCAATGATTGTGGAGTTCGTCAAACAAGCAAGGAATGGTTCTCAAAAGTAAAACCGATAAAAAATTGAGTTTCAAATGAAAATAATATTAAATTATTAAGTCATGAGAGAGTAAACATGAACACAAATAATGAACACAAGCAAAAAAAAAAGAAAAAGTAGCTTAAAAATTACACCAAACAACATAAACCAACCTCGAAATCAACTTAACTAGATTAGAAAAAAAATGGCGCCGGGAGGCACGTGTAGCCGCCCATATCTAAAATATGTTAATAAAAAGTTGGTAGGCAGTTCTTTTAGTTTCAAAGTAAAGGAATTTTTCCATTTTTTTATCTCAAAAACTGCGACTTAGACTGATTTTGATATTATTACAAATTTTGTTGCAAATATTATTCCTAATCTTAAATTGAAAACCGCGTTTCGCTAGCTACTGTAATTTTGGAGTTACGATTTTTTAAAATTTTTAACCCCCTCCCATACCCCCTTACCAACCCCCCACTCCCACCAAAAACTAATTGCCCGATTTTCGGGTGTCACAGTATTTTTGTGTCGAATTTGGGTAAAATTGGTTTAGCGGTTTTTGAGTTATCGTGTTACAGACGGACACACAGACAGACGGACAGACAGACACTATGAAAGTATTTTGTATTTAGGTCATTTATGACCCAAATAACTCATTTTGAGTGAAATTAAA